CTGGTATAAATTAAGGAGTATGAAGGTCTGAGAACCAGGAGCTCCAGTGTCTGATGGCAGGAAAGAAATGGACATCCTAGTTTAAGAAGCGAGAAAATTTGTCTTTCCTTTGCCTTTTTGTACCATTTGGGACCCCGGTGGATTGGATGATGTCAGCCTACAATGGTGAGGCTGGATCTCTTTATTCAGTCTACCAAATCGAATGCTATTCTTCTCTAAAAACACCCTCCCAGCCACATCCAGAAAAAATGTTTTACCAGATCTCAGGGCATCCCTTAGTCCATCAAGCCAATGTATAAAATTAAGTATTGCAATTATTTAACCTACCACAGGTGGCCTAATGGGGAGTTTGGAAGGGGGAGGAAGGTAATGGAATGGAGAGGAAGGTAATGTCAGAGACACCTTCATGACATGATGGCTGATTCCAGTTGTGAAGGTGGGCTAGAAGTTACCCTGGCAGAGAATTGTGGAAGAGCATTAAGGTGGGGAGACAGTATGGAGGGTATGACAGGAGATGAGCCAGAGAAACACACAACTGCCAAGACAGTGTAAGATTGTCAATAAGAAATTTCGTGATCATTTTTCTTAACTGATACGTCATTTGTGAATAAATAATTATATTATATGTAATATATGTATATGTACACACAAACATATGTCTTCCACAATTTGCTCATCCATTTTTTTGCTGATGGACATTTGGGTTATTTTATCTTCCAACTATTGTGAATAGTACTACCATGAACGCCCATGTACCTGAGTTTGTTTGAGTTTGAGTACCTGCTTCATTTCTCTTGGGTCTGTACCTAGCAGTGAAATTATTGAATCATACAGTAATTCTAGGTTTAATTTTTTGAGGAATTGCCAACTGTTATCCACAGTGGTACCACTTTACATCCTCATAAGCAATGTGTAACGGTTCCAGTCTCTCCACATTCTTACTAACATTTGCTATCTATCTATCTATCTATCTATCTATCTATTTACCTACCTATCATCTATTGCCATCCTAGAGCGTGTGAAGTGGTACATCATTGTGTTTTGGATTTGCATTTCCTTAATGTATGTCCTAATTTCTAATGGCTGCAGAATATTTCCTTTTAAGGATGTCACAAAAATCTACCTCGTCAATTCTCTACTGGTAAACATTGAGTCCTTCCAGTCTTTATGCACCATGTGCCTCCTTTTTCAATGCTAATTTATACTCCACCAGCAATATATGCCAGTGTTTGTTTCTAGAACCTTCAACCTTGGGGCTTGTCATTAAAAAATACCATTGCTAGCATCTTGTTATTGTTTTAAGTTAGCATTTCTTTGATTACTAGCAAGGTTGAATATTTTTTGAGCATTTAATTATTTCTTTTGTGCATTGCCCGTTTAGGTCCTATGTTCTATTTTTTTTCTATTTGGATTGTAAATTTGTCTAAATTTCTCTGAGAGTCCTTTACACAAGGGTAATAACCTAACATGCCCTACATTTTATTAAAAATATAATATATTTTGGGGTGCCTGCGTGGCTCAGTCAGTTAAGCATCCGACTTCAGCTCAGGTCATGATATTGTGGTTTGTGAGTTAGAGCCCTGCGTTGAGCTCTGTGCTTACAGCTCAGAGCCTGGAGCCTGCTTCAGATTCTGTGTCTACCTCTCTCTCTGCCCCTCCCCTGCTCATGCTCTGTCTCTCAAAAATAAATAAATGTTAAAATTAAAAAAAATATATATATCATATTTCCAGTTTGTCATTCGCAATTGAATTTCACACATAGATCCATGGTATGGTTTGCCACCGTAGGACCTGTAATACCAAACTCCTGGGATTTCTCAGAGGGAATGAGATGAATGTTGAGCAACTTAGGCCTCAGATCTTTCATCCGTGAAATGAAAAGTCTGAACTAGGGAATTGCTATTTATTGCCAACTGGATCCAGCAATACATTAAAAGAATTATTCACCACCATCAAGTGGGATTGATACCTGGGATGCAGCGCTGGTTCAATATCTGCAAATCAATCAATGTGATATATCACATCAATAAAAGAAAAAACAAGAACCATATGGTCCTCTCAATAGATGCAGAGAAAGCATGTGACAAAATGCAGCATACTTTCTTGATAAAAACCCTCAAGAAAGTGGGATAGAAGAATCATACCTCAAGATTATAAAAGCCATATTGAAAGACCCAACACTAATGTCATCCTCAATGGGAAAAAACTGAGAGCTTTCCTCCCAAGGTCAGGAACACGGCAGGGATATCCACTCTCACCACTGTTATTCAACATAATATTGTTATTCAACATAATATTGGAAGTCCTACCCTCAGCAATCAGACAACACAAAGAAATAAAAGGCATCCAAATTGGCAAGGAGGAAGTCCAGCTTTCACTTTTTGCAGATGACATGATACTGTATATGGAAAACCCAAAAGAGTCCACCAAAAAACTGCTAGAACTGATTCATGAATTCAGCAAAGTCACAGGATGTAAAATCAACACACAGAAATTGGCTGCATTTCTGTTCACCAATAATGAAGCAGCAGAAAGAGAAATCAAGGAATCGGTCGCATTTACAATTGCACTAAAACCCATAAAATACCTAGAAATAAATCTAACCAAAGAGGTGAAAATTCTACACACTGAAAACTATGGGAAAGCTTATGAAAGAAATTGAAGAAGACACAGAAAAATAGAAAAATATTCCATGCTCATGGATCGGAAGAACAAATATTGTTAAAATGTCGATACTACCCAAAGCCATCTACATATTCAATGCAATCCCTATCAAAGTAACACCAACATTCTTTACAGAACTGGAACAAACAATCCTAAAATTTGTACGGAACCAGAAAAGACCCCAAATAGCCAAAGCAATCCTGAAAAAGAAAACCAAAGCTGGAGGCATCACAGTTCCAGACTTCAGGATGTATTACAAAGCTGTAATCACCAAGACAGTATGGTACTGACTGGCACAAAAACAAACACTCAGATCAATGGAACAGAATAGAGAACCCAGAAATGGATGCACAAACATATGGCCCACTAATCTTTCACATGCAGGAAAGAATATCCAGTGGAATAAAGACAGTCTCTTCAGCAAGTGGTGCTGGGAAAACTGGACAGTGACATGTAGAAGATTGAACCTAGAACACTTTCTTACATCATACACAAAAGTAAACTCAAAATGGATGAAACACCTAAACATAAGACAGGAAGCCAACAAAATCCTCGAGGAGAAAGCAGGCAAAAACCTCTTTGACCTTGGCTGCAGCAATTTACTCAACACATCTCTGGAGGCGAGGTAAACAAAAGCAAAAATGAACTATTGGGACCTCATCAAGATAAAAGCTTCTGCATGGTGAAAGAAACAATCAGAAAAACTAAAAGACAACCAGCATAATGGAAGAAGATATTTGCAAATGACATATCAGATAAAGGGTTAGTATCCAAAATCAATAAAGAACTTCTCAAACTCAACACCCAAAAAATGAATAATCCAGTGAAGAAATGGGCAAAAGACATGAATAGACACTTCTCCAAAGAAGACATCCAGATGTCTAACAGACACATGAAAAAATTCTCAACATCACTCATCATCAGGGAAATATAAATCAAAACCACAGTGAGATACCACCTCATACCAGTCAGAATGGCTAAAATTAACAACTCAGGCAACAACACATGTTGGCTAGGAGGCGGAGAAAGAGGAACTCTTTTGCCTTGCTGGTGGGAATGCAAAGTGGTGCAGCCACTATGGAAAAAAAGTAAGGAGTTTCTTCAAAAAATTAAAAATAGAACTATCCTAGGGGTGCCTGGGTGGCTCAGTCGGTTGAACGTCCGACTTTGGCTCAGGTCATGATCTCGCGGCTTGCAAGTTCAAGCCCCATGTCGGGCTCTGTGCTGACATCTTGGAGCCTGGAGCCTCTTTCGGATTCTGTGTCTCCCTCTCACTCTGCCCCTAAACTACTCTCACTCTGTCTCTGTCTCTCTCAAAAATAAACATTAAAAAAAATAAAAAAAAAAATAGAACTACCCTATAACCCAGCAATTGCACTACTAGGTATCTATCCAAAGGATACAGGTGTGCTCTTTTGAAGAGGCACATGCACCCCAATGTTTATAGCAGCTCTATCAACAATAGCCAAAGTATGGAAAGAGCTCAGATGTCCATCAATAGGTGAATGGATAAAGAAGATGTGGTATATATATACAATGGAGTATTACTTGGCAATCAAAAAGAATGAAATCTTGCCATTTGCAACAACATGGATGGAACTAGAGTGAATAATGCTAAGCAGAATTAGTCAGAGAAAGATAAATATCACATGATTTCCCTCATATGAGAAATTTAAGATACAAAACAGATGGACATAAGGAAAGGGAAGCAAAAATAATATAAAAACAGGGAGGGGGCAACACATAAGAGACTCTAAAAATAGAGAGCAAACTGAGGGTTGCTGGAGGGGTTGTGGGTGGGAGGCTGTGGTAAATGGGCAAGGGACGTTAAGGAAGACACTTGTTGGGATGAGTACTGGGTGGTATATGTATGGGATGAATCACTGGATTCTATTCCTGAAAGCATTATTACACTATATGCTAACTAACTTGGGTGTAAAATTAAAAAAAGAAAATAAAAAAAGAAAATTACTGTTTATTTCCAGATTTGCTATTTTGTGATTTTATATGAACATGTGATTTTACATGTTCAATATAAATGGTTATTTCAACTTCATATTTATATTGATATGTAATTATAATAACTATAAATATAATCACTCCATAAGTTGCTTTTATATATCTTGAGAATCTTGAACAGAGGCTGTAAGTATACACACACATACATATTTATACATGTATAAAATAACATTCTCTCAGGTCACGAAAATAAAAAATCTCATATATAATTTGTGTTGTACTAAATGAGTTGTCAATAATTCTCCTTTTAAGGAATATTTAATTTTGCATCGTTGAGGCCACTATAAATTACGGCTTTTTTTTTTTATGTTAAATAGATATTTGACGGAGTTAATACTACATATTCTAACTTTAAGAGCAACTTTGTGAAGAGACTGTCGGCAGAGGTTCCCGTTGCCAGTAGCCCAATTACCACCAGATGGCGGCAAAGCCAAACCAGGGATCTGGCAGTTGATTCCTTTGAGGAAGAGCGTTCAACCACTTACCTCCCAGAAGCTTCTGGATCCGTGCTGAAGATAACTCCTGAAAAAGAGACCTTGATTCTAGGTGAGGTAATAGAAATTCCACAGGCCATTTAAAAAATGTCAATGAAATAGAATTCCTCAAAGAATCTCTGTAGCATAGAACTATCTAGTATCACATTTAGTCAACTGCTTTCCTTTTCTTCCTTCCTTTGAATAAGAAATTTCCAAGGTGGTGGGGAAGGGGCAGGAAATGAAACGAGAACAAAAGAGAGTATGTTGTATTTTAGATGCATTTCTGAGATTTACATTGGTATATGATTCCTTTTCTAAAGATTACATATGTAAGATTTTTCAGTGGTCCTTATTAGCTCCTCTGTTGAACAAGTGATATGAACAAAAATATACTTAGTTTTACAGGATGACTTGGCAAGGTTTTCTATGTAGTTAAAAATCTGGTAAAGGGCTTTCTCAATCTTGAGAAGAGAACAGATATGAATAATAATGATGCAAATAACTCTGACTTTGCTATTATTTTCTCTTAGAAAGTATTTCACTACTGTCATCTCAAATTACCCTTACAGCATCTTTCTATAACAGAGAGATGGAGAGGCAAAGTGATTTGCTCATGATCATAGAGTGGATGCCAATGTTGGGAAAGCAAGCATCCCATAGTGATTTCCTGGCAGAATGATCATAGTTTGCAATCAGCAACCTGCAGTTGCAATCAGGTCTTTCATCTTGGCATTTCTTACAGAGGCCACTGAGGCAGTGCTCACTTATGACCCTGGCATTCTTGACAAGGCCAATCTTTCCTCTTTTACTCCCATCTCCCGTGGTTTTTAGAGAGATGTGGGCCTGTGGTTTCACATTCTATTGTGAAAGACACCATGGGTTGACTTCCAACCAAAGTGATTATCTTGTTTTGAAGAACAAATTAAAAACTAAATGTTTTTCTTGCAGGATCCTACAAAGAACCACTGAAGACCTCCATCAAAGGGAATATTGAAACAAATAACTCAGCTCTCCATTTTTGCAAGGCGCCTCATGCACTGGGCAGAGGCTGGAATGAAAATGTTGCCTCAAAAGGCCAGGTGGGTAAAGACAAAAAACTGAAGATCTCATATCCTGACATGCTCAGACAATTGAGTCCCAAATGTGAAGAAAGAGCTGGCTTAGCTGCTCTTACACGTCAGTAAGAAAATGATGGGTTCCTGATAGAAAAAATGAGTGAGTTAAGGACATGAATAAGGGCACTTTGTAAAAGAAATATAATACAAGTTTAGTTAGTCTCAATCAAAAAAGTGAAAATGAGACAGCAAAAAGGTAAAGATTAAGATGACAGGATACTATGTAGAGAAAACCCTAAGGGGTCTACCAAAAAACTAATAGAACTGATAAATTAATTAAATAAAGTTACAGGATATCGAATAGGTATACAGAAATCCAGTGCATTTCTATTCACTAATAATGAAGCAGCAGAAAGAGAAATTAAGAAAACAATCCCATTTACAAATGCACCCAAAACAGTAAAACAGATACCTAGGAATAAACTTAACCAAAGAGGTAAAAGGCCTGTACTCCAAAAACTATAAAACACTGATGAAAGAAATTGAAGAGGACACAAATAAAAAGATATGCCATGCTCATGGACTGGAAGAAGAAATATTGTTAAAATGCCCATACTTCCTAAAGCAATCTCCAGTTTTAATGCAATTCCTTTCAAAAGATCAACAGCATTTCTCACAGAACCAGAATAAACAATCCTAAAATTTGTATAGAACCACAAAAGACCCTGAATGGCCAGAGAAAACATGAAAAAGAATAAAACTGGAGGTATCACAATCCCAGATATCAAGATATACTATAAAGCTGTAAAAATCAAAACAGTAGGGTACTGGCACAGTACAGATACATACATCAATAAAACAGAATAGAGTCCAGGAATAAACCCACAATTATATGGTCAATTAGTCTCCAACAGAGGAGGCAAGAATATGCACTGGGAAAAAGAAAGCCCCTTCAACAAATGGTGTTGGGAAAACTGGACAGCTACATGCAAAAGATTGAAACTGGACCACTTTCTTACACCATACACAAAAATACACTCAAAATGAATTAAAGACCTAAATGTGGTTCCTGAAGCCATAAAATTTCTAGAAGAAAACATAGACAGTAATCTCTTTGACATCAGCTGTAGAAACATTTTTTTTAAAGATATGTCTCCTCTGACAAGGGAAACAAAAGCAAAGTGAAGTGATTGGGACTACACCAAAATAAAAAGCTTTTTCACAGTGAAGGAAACCATCAAAAGCCATCAAATGGGAGAAGAAATTTGCAATATCCAATAAAGGATTAGTATCCAAAATATATAAAGAACTTCTATGACTCAACACCAAAAAATCAAATAATCTAATTAAATGAGAAGATATGAACAGATATTTTTCCAAAGAAGTCCTACAGATGACCAAAAGACACATGAAAGCATGCTCAACACTACTCATCATCAGGAAACACAACTTAAAATGACAGTGAGATATCACTTCACACCTGTCAGAATGGCTAAAATCAAGATAAGAAATAACAAGTCTTGGTGAGGATGTGGGGAAAAAGGGACCCCTGTGCCCTGTTAGTGGGAATGCACACTGGTGCAGCAATGTGGAAAACAGCATGGACATTCTTCAAAAAATTAAAAATGGAATTACCAGGGGTGCCTGGCTGGCTCAGTTGGGTAAGCATCTGGCTCTTGCTTTCGGCTCAGGTCATGGTCTCACAGTTTATGAGTTCGAGCCTCACATTGGGCTCTGTGCTGACAGTGAAGAGTCTGCTTAGGATTCTCTCTCTCCCTCTCTCTCTGCCCCTCCCCTGCTCGTGCCCTCTCTCTCAAAATTAAAAAAAAAATAGAATTACCATATGATCTAGTAATTCCACTACTAGGTATTTACCCAAAGAAAACAAAAACACTAATTCAAAGATATATACGCATCACAATGTGTATGGGAGTATTATTTACAATAGCCAAGATATGAAAGAACTCAAGGATCCATCAATAGATGAAAGGATAAAGAAGATGTGGTGTATATATATATATATATATACACACACACACACATATCTATATGTATGTACATATAGATATGTATATATACATATGTGTGTGTATATATACATATGTGTTTATATATATACACACAAATGAATAAATACATAAATAAAATATATATACATATACATACAATGGAATATTACTCAGCCATAAAAAGAATGACATTTTGGGGCACCTGGGTGGCTCAGTTGGTTAAGCATCTGACTCTTGATCTCAGCTCGGATCATGATCTCACTGTTCATGAGTTTGAGGCCCACGTTGGGCTCTGCACTGACAGCCGGAGCCTGCTTGGGATTCTGTCTCTCTCTCTCTGCTGTTCTCCCACTCTCTTGTGCTCTCTTTCTCAAAATAAAGAAATAAACTTAAAAAAAATGTCATTTTGCCATTTGAAACAACAGAGATGTAGCACAAAAGTATAATGCTAAGTGAAGTAAGTCAGAGAAAGGGAAATACCATATGATTTCAGTCATATGTGGAATTTGAGAAACAAATGAACAAAGGAAAAAGTGACAAACCAAGAAACAGATTCTTTTTTTTTTTTTTAATTTTTTTTTTCAACGTTTATTTATTTTTGGGACAGAGAGAGACAGAGCATGAACGGGCGAGGGGCAGAGAGAGAGGGAGACACAGAATCGGAAACAGGTTCCAGGCTCTGAGCCATCAGCCCAGAGCCCGACGCGGGGCTCGAACTCACGGACCGCGAGATCGTGACCTGGGTGAAGTCGGACGCTTAACCGACTGCGCCACCCAGGTGCCCCCCAAGAAACAGATTCTTAACTACAGAGAACAAACTGATGGTTACCAGAGGGAGGTGGGTGGGGGGATGGTTGTGATAGGTGATGGGGATTAAGAGTACGTTTATCATGATGAGCACTGTGTAATGTATAGAATTGTTGGATCATTATATTGTACATCTGAAACTCTTATATGTATGTTAATTATACTCATATTACAAAAATAAACATTAAAAAAGGTAAAGATTAAAAATATAATAAAATTACATATATTATGGTATGTTTCCCCTCAGCCCAAAGATCTCTTGTACAATCATTTCCAACTATTCTGTGACTTGGTCTGGCATCTGGGGTCACTCAGGATACATTCTATTCTTCCTCTACAAGATGGTCTTTTAAATATTTCCCTTAAGTCCTTTTTACTGTTTTTTTTTGTTTGTTTCTTGACTAAGTTAATTTCGTTCTCTTAAGTATCTTATTTATTATGTGTTTTTAAATGTTTATTTGTTTTGAGAGAGTGAGAGAATGTGCGAGCAGGGAAGGGGCAGAGAGAGGAGACAAAGAATTCCAAGCTGGTTCTGTGCCATTAGCTCAGGGCCTGACATGGGGCTCAAAGTCACGCATTGTGAGATCATGACCTGAGCTGAAACCAAGAGTTGGACACTTAAACCGATTGAGCCACCCAGGAGCCCCTTTATTATGGTTTTAAGATCTTTGAGGAATCTGACCCAAATCTTAGGGCACATGAAATATCAATAGCATATTTTTGAGTGTATCAAATCCAACGAAGAGCTTCTGAAGGAATAAAGGTTTAATTTAGAAAGCGTTACACTAGGAATATCATAAATCCTCAATTTAGGCAGTTTCTCATTTAGTATGTGCTTTCAGTGTTTGGCATATATATCTTGCTAGAGGAACAATATCGTGAATGTAAAATTTAATTATTTGAAATCATATACAAATTGAAAACAAATATCTTAGAGCAGGTCTTTTGCTGAGTGCTCTACTGTTGGCTAAGGGTTTGGAAGTGCAGAAGGTTAGAGAGTTCTGAGTCATTGGGGAAATGTTGACTTTACGTCCAGGCCAGGTTATTAGCACCATTGCCTTTCCACACCCTACGTCTTGCCAGTTGGAGTTTGTACTGCTTTGAACTTCAGAACTTCCTTTTACTCTCTCCCTTAGGCTCGCATTGTTACAGCAATTGTAATCCAATCAGAACATTGTCCCAACATCACTGGAAAACCTGAGAAAGGGATAATGGAAACTGTTTGACTATTTTATGTAAAGCATTTGTTTAATGACTGATTAGAAATCAAGCAGCATCAGGAGTAGTGCACATACAGTGAGGTCTTTTGCATTGACAGTAAATGTGTGTCTTCATGTGGTCCTCAGAAGTCATGTGGGGGTGTTTCTACAAAAGGGCCTGCATAGCTGCGGAGATGTTCAAAATTATGATATATAGTCAGCTCTAGGCCAAATTGTTCATTAAAGTAATTAATAGATCTTACCTGGGGTAGAGCACCCTTGGGTACATCAAACAGAAGCACACTGTGCCAGGTAGTCTTGGGCAGCTTTATGCTGACTATAGATACTGGAGAAGCCAGTCGATTTTAGGAACATTATTTGTTATCAGTAGTTCTCAACTGGAGGTGATTTTGCTCCCCAGGGGACATTTGGCAATGTCTGATTTTTGATTATCACAACCTAGTGAGAGGGTATCTAGTAGATGGAGGCTGGGACACTGCTAAATGTCCTATAATGGACAGAACAGCCCCTCACAATAATGAATTATCTACCACCAAATGCCAGTGGTGCTGAAAGTGGGAAACCCTGCTTTATACTGAATTGTTCTAATTAGAATACCTAAAAATCCATGATTCATTGACTGACAATGCCTATTATGTGGCATGATATCTGGGAAGAAAACCAAAATCTCAAAATGATGCCTGTGGGAGAGACTTCTGTGTGAATTATGGTGATCCCACGATTGTTTTATATGTAAGATTAAATATATTATCATGAAGGAGAAAAAAAGGAATCATCTCTGCTTTAACTGTTTGCTAAAATGTTTCTAGGAAATTTCTGCAAGTACTTTTCTTTATACTTGTAGTAATTTTCTCATCTGTTTTTGAGTGAAGTTGGATGTAAGAATGTCAGAAGTGCTTTTTGTATACTGGTCCAAAGAAACAGCAATCCGATTTTTGTGTTCATGGAAACTGAGGTATGTTATTTAAGATCCCAGTGATTTGGTGTTCCCATTTCTAATAGGTGAAGGTGTTAATGGAAAAAGACCTTTAGGATGATTAGTTCAATCTCAACATACTACAGAGGAGGAAAATTAAGACCCAGAGAAAATCTCAGTAACAGACTGAAAGAGCACCTCCAGGTTGAATGCTGAGAGGCATCTTTTGAAAGAAATCTTTCTTGAAAAAGTAGCCTTAACATACAATCAACTTTATCATCTTGGGGAGGTCTTTCAGTTTCACAACGCACCAGAAATATCATGACATTTCAGTTCTTGCAGGCTTTGATGATCTCAGTGGCCTTTTAGTTGGTTTGTGGGCTAAAAAGATTTTTAGGCTAGAAGAGTAAAGAAGATTTTATTTTAGCTGAGTAATACCTGCCCTATGGAGTTGTTGGGGAGATTAGAAATAATACATGTAAAATGCTCAGCACTGTATTCACTACATGCTGGTTAGGTAATAAAAAATAGCAATTGTAGTGTTGGTTTTGATAATGTGGAAACTTTGAACTTGCTGGTGAATTACTGGTTTAACACTATGTCATGCATAACATCTGAGATGTGCATATATGTTTCTAAAGAAGTATTTATTTGTTTTCAGAAATGCCTAAACCAGCTATTTTTGACCCAGAAGGTGGCTCAGTGGGTTAGTGGGAAAATGCAGCTCTGTGAGAAATCCCAGTGTGTTTGGAAAGGTATGGGGCAAAGATTTTGTTTGTCCTTCTTTCCTACCCTTCTCTCTCCCTGCCTTCTTCATTCCTTTTTTATATTTATTAGACTAATAAACATAATTATAAAATTCAGATAATTCTCTCTCCCTGCCTTCTTCATTCCTTTTTTATATTTATTAGACTAATAAACATAATTATAAAATTCAGATAATTTTCTCTCCCTGCCTTCTTCATTTCTTCCTTATTCTTCTTTATCCATTCATCAGTTGGTGGACATTTGGGTTCTTGCCACGGTTTGGCTCTTGTTGATAATGTTTACAACTATTTTCTAAGTAATATTTGTAAACTGCTCTTTTTTGAGATTTTAGACTTTATCATAACTTTCTAGCAGAGTAGATAACAACTTAGTTCTCCTGCCTCATTCACCTCCTTCAATCTACTTACATCACACTTCTAAAAAGTAAACAACCCCTCACACAGTTGGAAATCTGTATATAACTTTTGACTCCCCCCAAACTTAATTGCTAATAGCCTATGGTTGACTGGAGGCCTTAATAATTTGGACAGGTGATTAACACATCTTTTGTATGCCATATATATTACATACTATATTCATACAATAAAGTATGCTAGAGAAGAGAATGTTATTAGGAAAGTTATAAGGGAAAGAAAATACATTTATATTACTGTATGATATTTATAAAAAACAATCTGCATATAAGTGGACCATAGCAGTTAAAACCCATGTTGTTCAAAGGCCAATTGTATTCATTTCAGGTATAAAACATAATAATGTGATATTTGTATATATTGTTAAAAGATCACCACAGTAATTCCAGTTAACATTCATCACCATGCTTAGTTACAGAATTTTTTTTCTTGTGATAAAAACTCTTAAGGTGTACTCTCTTAGTAATTTTCAAATATGTAATCCAGTATTATTATTATTTAAAAAAATTTTTTTTAACATTGATTTATTTTTGAGACAGAGAGAGACAGAGCATGAACGGGGGAGGGTCAGAGAGAGGGAGACACAGAATCCGAAACAGGCTCCAGGCTCTGAGCTGTCAGCACAGAGCCTGACGCGGGGCTCGAACTCACAGACGGAGAGATCACGACCTGAGCTGAAGTCGGCCGCTTAACCGACTAAGCCACCCAGGCGCCCCTGTAATCCAGTATTATTAACTGTAATTGCCATGCTCTACATTACATCCCTATGACTCTTATTTTGTAACTGGAAGTTTGTACCTGTTTTTTAAAAAACCTTTATTGGCCGTGCTTGAGTGTTTCCAGCAACCTTGCAGTTTTACTCACAACTGTAGGTCTTCATGGCTAACACCAAGGCTGGGAGTATTAATCTACTTCTTGGTTTAGCACTGTGAAGCTCTTACGCTTTTATCCAAAGGCATGTGGTCATAGAGACCACAAATTACTTGGGTGGGCTCAACACCTATTCATTTATGTCATTTTTAGTTTGATCACAAGCCAAGTGGTTGTACAGATGAAAAGACAGTGGCCTGTGGTTTATACTTAGTTGGGTCTTTGTTTTTTATTTTTTTATTTTATTTTATTTTTTTAATTTATATATGAAATTTATTGTCAAATTGGTTTCCATACGACACCCAGTGCTCATCCCAAAAGGTGCCCTCCTCAATACCCATCACCCACCCTCTCCTCCCTCCCACCCCCCATCAACCCTCAGTTTGCTCTCAGTTCTCAACAGTCTCTTATGCTTTGGCTCTCTCCCACTCTAACCTCTTTTTTTTTTTTTTTTCCTTCCCCTCCCCCTTAGTTGGGTCTTTGGATGAGAATTAAAACTGAGCCCAAGATATGACCCTGACCTCAGATATTCATTGGTAAAACTAGCCAGAAATAACTGCATGCTCTGGTACAGAACCAGTGAGACAAAGAGCTGAAATAAATGAACCCACAAATGTTTACTGACAAAAACTCAGAGTAGTGTCTATCAGGTAATTGTTGATGTGACAGACAATGGATATGCATAAATTACTTTGATTTAAAATTTTTTTTAACATTTATTTTTGAGAGACAGAGACAGAGCATGAGCAGGGGAAGAGCAGAGAGAGACACACACATGCGTGCACACACACACACACACGCACTCACAGAGTCCAAAGCAGGTTACAGGCTCTGAGCTGTCAGCACAAAGACCCATGCAGGTCTCGAACCACGAACTGCAAGATCACGACCTGAACCGAAGTCTGACACTTAACCAACTGGGCCACCCAGGCACCCCCAAACTACTTTGATTTTAAAAACTCAAGTGACAGAATAAATATTCATAGTATGATATAAGGTTTCTATGTGCTTTCCACAAGGTCTGTTGTCACATTTGGGTCTGGCACTCAGGCTTTTTATTAAAAATATGCCATGAAATATTTTTTAAATATAATTTATTGTCAAATTGGCTTAGAGACAATACCCAGTGCTCATCCCAAACCATGAAATATTTTTAAAATTTTTGTTTCAATGAATACTGAAGTCTTCCTTTTTTCCCTTTCCTTCTCCTACAACTTGTAATTCAGTTTTATCAGGAGGACTACTTTCTTTCTCACTCTGTTATCTCTTAATCCCTGCAAGGATAAATATTATGTTCCTGGGATCATAAAGATATGTAGATGTGTTTGTTTCTTGTAGGCTGCAGAGATGGAGTCAGAGATGAATCCTTCCATCTTAAAAGATTCAATAGTATAAACTATTCCATACTGCAACCAGAGGTGAAGTTTCATCTTACTGGTCTTCGAAATGACTATTGTAAGTTATTTTTTAGATCGTTAATTAAAAAGTTGAGGTGACACATTGTATCCAATGTGGTGGCATGAACTTGAAATTTGATTCTGGAAGAACCTGATGGTCCTTGTGCCTCATGTCCCAAAGCTGTACCATCCAAATACTGTTAATATAGTTTGCCTTTTCCTTGTACAAATTTCACGTTTGGAATGGGTACTGTTGGTGTTGGGAGGGCATGAGCAATATACATATTTTTTACTGTATTAGAATGCACTGAGAAAATAGTGGCCTATTCTTATGCATATATTTTAAACAGATAAATCCAATCAGTCAACAGCCACATGGGGTCTTCTCGTCATGTGCCTACTTTATAATCTAGTTGGGGAGACAGGACTAACTCACATGGAACTTCTAGCAACATGCCAGTGTAGAATATAAATAATGAATTGTGGGATGAAAGGAGCTAGTTCAGTGATCTTTGGATCTTTGTCTAGAAAGACTTTGTGGAGATAATCACACTTGAGCTGGGTCTTGAAAAATGGGTAGGACTTGGAGGGGTGGAGGAGAGAAGATAGAACATTTTTCAGCAACGTTGTTAGTTGGTAGTTAATGATAATGGCAATGAAGAGGATACACTGGGGACTGGTGAACAGGTAGGTAGATGCAAATTTTGTAATCACATAGGTCCCCTCCACCCTCCTCCCCCACTTTTTTTTAGGTTACTGTAGTTGTTCTGCATTTTATGTCTACGAACATTGAAAACTCTACTATTGCTATAAATTTTACTCTAAAAGTCCATATATATTTGTATTTTAAATAAAAGAGGGGACAATGGTCTTTATATTTACCCCAGTATTTACCAATTCTACTCTTCTCTTTCATTCCTGAAGATCTAAATTTCCGTCTCATATGATTTCCCTTCAGCCTGAAAAGCTTCTGTTAGCAATTCTTTCAGATCCGGTTAGTTGGCAAAGGCTTCTCTTATACTCCATTTTATGATATTTTTGCTGCATATAGAATCCTGGGTTGCCAGATTTTTTTCTTTCAGCATTTAAAATATACTGACTTCTGGCCTCCCTGGTTTCTGGGGAGAGGTCTAAGGCCATTTGAAACTTTGTTCTCTTGTTTCCAGGACCTGACTCCACTTACACATGTTAGAATCTTTGAATATTATTCCACAGGACCCTGAGGTTTTGTTCATTTCTTTTTTCAATTTCTTTTCCTATATGTTCTTCAGACTGGATAATTTCTGTTGATTTATATTCAAATATAGTGACTCTTCCCTCTGTCATTTCCATTCTGCTATTGAGCCCATCCAGAAGATTTTTCAGATATTGTATTTTTCAGTTTCAAAATGTCTATTTTATTGTATTTATGGCTTCTATTTTAGTTTTATAGTTTCTATTTTTCTATTCCTCTGCTTCTATTTTCTATGTTTTCCTTCATTTAAAGTAGGTTTTTCTTTACCTCATGGAGAATAATCTATTCTATTCTGCTTATATATTCTATTATAGCTGCTTTAGCATCTTTGTCTGATAATTCCTATAACTGTCATTTTAGGTTTCTCATCTATTGATTATATTTTCCTTTTATATATGCCCAGTAATCTTAAATTGTGTCCTGGACATTGTGGATTATATGTGGTATTAACTCTGGGTCCTGCAGAGAATGTTGTCATTTTTGTCTTAGTTAGGTTTATTGGTCTTGCCTTTTGTGGGTGGCCTTTTAAGTCTCAGATCAGTTTCTTCAGCCTTGATTATGATGGTTTGGGTCTATCCCTTACATATAGGGATCAGAATCCAGGCTGAGACCTAAATGGAGGCTTCAAATCTCAGTTCAGCTCTAAAAGTCTTTGCTAAGCTGATTTGAGTTTTCCCTGTCCTGACACAAATTCTGGGATAGGCTGAGATGTATGTGGGTTCCTACTTTCACCATTAGAGGGTGCCTTTCTGTCTCTCTCTCCCCTCTAGGACTTTCTCTACACACTTTGTCCACTTCAGGCTTCTTTCCCTGGCTTCTTTCACCAGAGATATAGTGATTTTTCTATTGGAGTTTGGGCTGCTGGTGCTACTCCATGACTGGGGCCCATCCTCTGGCAAAACCACGTGAGAAAAAAAGTGAGAAACTCACCCCTCGGCAGGTTGCTTCTTCAAGTTTTGACTCCCTTACTTAGTTTCACTGCTTTTGCTTGCTATCCAGTTCTCAATGGTTTTTTTTTTTTTTTTAATTTTGTTCGGTTGGTTGTTATCATTGGGAGAGGTAGGTTATAGGTGGCTTAGGTCACTATAGTGAAACTGGCGTGCTTCACAGTTTTGTACTGATATGTATCAATCAGGATAAGAGTTTTTGTCTTATAAGAAATAAGATAGGGTCATATGTCAACTACTTCAATTAAAAATAAATAAGGTAGGATACATTAAAATTTTTTAATGTTTATTTATTTTTTGAGAGAGAGAGAGAGAGAGAGAGACAGTATGAGCAGGGAAGGGAGCAGAGAGAGAGGGAGACACAGAATCCGAAGCAGGCTCCAGGCTCTGACCTGTCAGCACAGGGCCTGACATGGGACTTGAACCCACGAACCACAAGATCATGACCTGAGCCGAAATTGGAGGCTTAACTGACTAAACCACACAGGCACGCCTTGGTAGGATACATTTTAGAATGTGGTCATACAAATATGGTTTCTTTTGGCAGTTAAAGAGTTCTTAGAGTATAAGCTGGAGAATGCTGCTAGGAACTTTCAGGTATCATATATAAGTCAGTGACCATTTCTTCTAGATATATGTAGTTGGGTGGTATTTTGGTTAGAAATGATGGTGGCATCTATCATATGGATATTGTAGGTTCAAGGATGTCTCCATAAGAGTTATGTGCCTTCCCCTTATGTTTATTGCAATATTATTTACAATAACCAAATTATGGAAGCAGCCTAAGTGTCCATCAATAGATGAATGGATAAAAAGATGTGATACACACACACACACACACACATACATGTGTGTGTGTGTATATATATATATATATATATATACACATATACATATCTATATACATATGATGAAATATTATTTAGCCATAAAAAAGAATGATATCTTGCCATTTACAACAACATGGATGGATATAGTTTTTTTTCGATGGATATAACTTTAAGTGAAATAAGTCAGTCAGAGAAAGACAAATACCATATGATTTCACTCATATGTGGAATTTAAGAAACAAAACAGATGAACAAAAGAAAAAAGAGACAAAGCAAAACCGGACTTTTAACTATGGAGAAGAAACTGATCATTACCAGAGGGGAGGTGGGTTGGGGGGGTGGGTGAAATAGGTGAAGGTGGTTAAGAGTACACTTACTGGGGCGCCTGTGTGGCTCAATCAGTTAAGCGTCCGACTTTGGTTCAGGTTGTGATCTCATGGCTTTTGAGTTTGAGCCCCGCGTTGTGCTATGTGCTGCTAGCTCAGAGCCTGGAGCCTGCTTCAGATACTGTGTCTCCCTCTCTCTCTCTGCCCCTCCTCTGCCCACGCTCTGTCTCTCTCTCTCTCTCAAAAAATAAATTAACATTAAAAAAAAAGAGTACGCTTACTGTTATGAGTACTGAGTAATGTGTAGAAATGTTGAATCACTATATTGTACACCTGAAACTAATATAACACTGTATGTTAACTACGTTAGAATTAAAACAAAAACAAAAACAGAACGAAGGGCCAGATAATTTCAATGAAAAAAATTTATGGACTTTTAATTTTTAGTGTTTGTTAGAGAAGGTACATGGGTGGTAATAATGGTAGATGAAACTTGGAAGTTCTCTAAATGACTCTAAATATATTTGATGTAAATAGTAAGCATTATTACTTCTTTGTGAATCTTGACACAAAGTTGTAGTTTTTATTTTTGAACTTCTAATGATCTGCTTGCATGGGTGATTCTATTTTCCAACTGACTATGGGAAAGGTATTAAATTTGTTCATCTGTCTATAAAAAAGTTGTTTATTTGAAAATTACTTTTATTTGGTTGAATAATTACCCTAATATGAACATCTTTTCTTGTAGATCTCAATATTCTAGATTGGAATTTTCAAAATCTTGTTGCTATAGCCCTTGGATCCTCTGTGTACATCTGGAATGGGGAAAACCACAATAAGATTGAAAATATAGACTTCACTCTCAATTGTAACTATGTATCTTCTGTGTCCTGGATAAAAGAGGGAAACTGCCTGGCAGTTGGCACCAGTGAGGGAGAAGTACAAGTAATGGATGGTTTTTTTCTCCAAATGTGCTCTGTGTAATTGCTAGATGTCTAAAATTGACATTTAATAGTAAGTTAATACACAATAGAGAAATTATATTAGTTGTGTCATTTGAAACTATGGAGAGTGAGTTGCCTAGGTGGCTCAGTTGGCTAAGTGTTGGACTCTTGATTTTGGCTCAAGTCATGATCTCATGGCTCATGCGAGCCCCACGTGGGGCTCTCTGCTGACAGCAAGGAGCCTGTTTGGGATTCTCTCTCTCTTTGCCCATCCCTCACACACACATACACACACACACACACACACAGACACACAGACACACAGACACACAGACACACAGACACACACTCTTTCCCTCTCAAAATAAATGCAAAACAAAAAACAAACTACGGAGAGTGAGAGTATACACCATTCTGATTCTTATCTGAATGTCATTTAATGAGGACTTAAGGATACTCTAGATCATGACCTGAACTGTAATCAACAGTCAGATGATTAACCACCCAGGCAACTCTATATTTACCTTTTTAAAAGTCTTTTCTCTGTTTTTTTTCAAATTAAAGTTGGGTTTGTAGACACCCCAGTGTTACGACTTTGGAGAGATGAAGATAACCTTCAGCTTTCCTTTTCCACCTCAAGCCATGATCAGGAGTAGAGTTACTTAAAATAAATGAATTTTTTCTCTGATAGCCTCTCTGAAGTGTGAATTTACCAGTTTTAATCTATTTACTTTCTCATGTATTATTATTCTTATTAGCAATAGTGTAAACAATATTGCTCATGTGTTCAATGACTTTGGAGGGCCACAGATGTCACTCACTACTTTCTCACCTCTGTGGTGATATTGGATGCTATGAAGGTTATGTCATGATTTCATCTTATAACAAAGTTCTCTTTCTCATATGGGTCAGAATATCATTTATAGTGGCAGAAAAGGAGTTTCTTAGCCTGTCGGTGGATTTCCAGATATGAAATTCCCACAATTTAGAAGAAACTATAAGTATGAAAGCCATTTTCAACATGGTGGCTTCCCACTGAATTCACCTGGGAAAGTTTAAAATAAATACCATATCCACAGACTCTACCTCCCTCATTAAATCAGAATGGCTAGCATCCATAGCATGCTCCCTAGGTGATGGAATATACAGACAGTGTGGAGAAATGCTGCCCAACGTTAAAGGTGCTCACTGAGCTTTCCTTTGGTACAAGGACTGGCTATATCAACATTAATTGGCTGTGAGGCCTTTGAGAATATAGTGGGCTGTGAAAATTTTAATGCTATATACTCTCCTTGTTAATTTTTTTTATTAAATTTTTTTTTTTTTTTTAGCTATGGGATGTGGTAACTAAAAAGCGGCTGAGAAATATGCTTGGTCATTTGTCAGTGGTTGGGGCTTTGAGCTGGAATCACTATATTCTTAGCAGGTAAGAAGCATCTTATTGCAACCAATTATATTTATATCATCAAAGGATTATGGGGGCTGAGTGAACAGAACTATAATATTTGAAACCAAAACCAAAACAAACCAAAACAAAATAGGCTATTAGTTCGCAGTTATGACTCTACCCTCTCAGATATTCTGATCTTCTGGTTATGTGAGTGGTCCAGTGGCCACAGGTACCATGGTGGCTATGAGCCTACGCCATATGCTAGTACTGGAAAGTGAGTCTCAGGATTCAGTAAATTTTCAGACAAAATGTAAAACTGTTTAAGCAAAAAGTTTCTCTGTACCAAGTAATACCTACTAGAGGGATATTTTGTTGAAATCAAGTATTTATTCCTATCAGGATCAAGACTTTGGAATATGTTAAGCTTTCTGAGGTACGTTTCCAATTCACAGACCCACAGACGTCAGTACTGGACGGAACCTCATAGAGTAGCCAGTTCTGTGGTTCTCAAACTTGAGCATGCATCAGCACTACCTGAAGGGCTCCTTAAAGCACAGATTGCTGGCCTCGCGGAATTTGATACAGTAGAGCTGAAGGTGCACTGATAATTTGCATTTCTAATTTTCAAAGAGATGCTGATGCTTTATCATTTTTGAGAACTACTGGTTTAGTCTGACTACTTCTTTTTAACCAGAAAAGTTAGGTGACTTGTCCCAGTGATCCTAAATCATTGATCTGAAAACATATTGCTTTTAATAATTGCCATTCATCTTTATACTGTAGCTTTTTTTAAATGTTTATTTATTTTTGAGAGGGGGGTGGTGGTAGGGAGGGGTAGAGAGAGAGGGAGACAGAGGATCCAAAGTGGGCTCTGTGCTGATAGCAGAGAGCCCAATGCTGGGCTCAAACTTAGGAATCGTGAGCCAAAAGTCAGATGCTTAACCGACTGAGCCAGCCAAGTGCCCCTATACGGTAGTTCTTAAGATAGGTTTAAATTAAATAAATTCCAAAGCCTTTTTATAATTTCTTTAAGTGGCTAAGATATAAATTTGAGATTTTAATACCTTGTGATTATAAGCCCAACCTAAAAACACTTAAAATACCATATAAAGGGCTAATCATTTACTGTGAGAGGTTGTAGTGAGGTCAGTTCTATATTTGAATTCCTTTCATGGGCTGCATTATTTAAGCTTAATTTTATTATCCATGAGGAAAATGAACAGATCCTTTTCTTATAATAATAGCAATGAACATTTTTGGAGTACCGTGTGCCAGGCATTGTGCTATACTGGTTATGCGTGTAATTGTGTCTTAATCCCTGCAACAACGCTATGAAGTGTTTTCTAATCCACCTCCCCCCCACCCCCAACCTTTTCTTAATGAAGAAACTAAGACACTAGCCTGAGGTCACGTGGTTAGTAAAGGGGGCAGAGTCAGGCTTTGAACCCAGGTTGTCTGGCCGCAGAGCCCATATTGTTCATCAGAATGCTATTCAGTGTGGTGCCTGAATGGTTTTTAAATATGATACTGGATTGTGAGAAATTTCAGAAATAATTGAAGGTAGTTTTTTACTTGCTCCTTGGGGCAAATTAAACTCATTCAGAAAGAGTTCATTAACTTTGATAGAGGGATAGGATCTTTACCATTATTTGGATCCAAATCACTAAGACTGAGGAGACATTATCCACTGATTTTGAATCACATTGCAGTTTTTCTGTGACATTCAGATAGTTTTATACTCTTTTAAGATATTAGTAGCATTAACAAAACTAATAATGGATTTGTAGCTTAAGAGAAAAAGGACATAATACATTTCTATGTCTGACATTTTACTATAAATACATAAATATATTTACTAAAATATATTTAGTATATATACTAAAACTATTTCATTGGGATAATAGGAAATATTCTGAGTTCCAGGAAAGTACTATTTCCTAGGTTCGGTACAAAGACTCCTTCCTGAAAAAATAGGGTAATCTTTTAAATTTATCTTTTCTATAGCTGCCTGCATCATAGTAAAGCCGTTAGAAATATCTATCAAAGGATATCCTCTTGATACCCAGATTTGAAAGTCTGCCCCACAAATTTTTTTTCACTTGTGAAAACAATAACCCAGGCAGAATCCTCTATCGTGACTAATACAAAGAATGTTCAAAACCTGTGCTGTGAATCTGTCCTGAGGGGCCTCTTGGTAGTGTGGACTATGCTTTCCTTCATGTTTTCAAATGCTTGTTAGCAATAGGGCTCAAGTTTTCTGCCAGAAACCTACCCCTTTACCTCCGTGCAGTGGGTCGAGGTTGGGCCGAGTTTATCATCACGACGTTCGGGTAGCCCGGCATCACGTTGGAACACTTCACCACCAACAAGCTGTGTGTGCTCTGAAGTGGTCGCCTGACAGTAGGCTGCTTTCCAGTGGCTGTAGTGACGGACTGCTGACTATATGGCCCGGTGACCCGAGTGCAAAAGCACAGGTTCAACCACTGAAAGTCATACCCCAACCTACAGCAGTCAAGGTAAGAGCATCAATCACTTTCCAAGTTGCTCTTTACGAAGAGATCACTGAGTATCCTTTGCACCTGAGAACAAAGCCATTAAGCCAATGTTTTGAGATTTTCTTCGCCCAGAATTTGTTTTGGATTTTGCCATCACTCTCCTCAAAGACAATCCTATTTATATTTCCCATGCATCAGGTTTTGTGGTTTGTAAGTGACCGAAACCAGAGTTAATCTTGAGCTTCAGCAAAAAAGTAAATATATTTTCTTTTACAACTGAGGAGTCCGGGATACATACAGCTGTTTCAAATATTGTCTGGATCTAGGGCCTTAAATAATGTCATTAGAGTTCTGTCTCTTTGGCTCTTGGCTCTGCCTGTCTCTGTTTCAATTCATTCTTTATTCAGAGTCCATTCTGTGGGCAAGATGGCTCTTATCAGCTTTAAATTCAGATTCTCCCAGATGGGAACTGGTGAAGAAACTACCGTTCCCTGTAACTGTGGTAGAAAAGTACCAGGCAGGACTCTGATATGAACTTGGACACATTCTCATCTCCCAACAGATAATTGCGGCCAGAGAGATGGGTACACTGACTGGTGAGGCCTGAGTCATGAGCTCACACCCATGAGAGGAAACCTGTTACCAGAAGGAGGAGGAAGGGTGCTTCACACTTAAACCAATATTCACCATGCTCTGTATAATATATATTTTTTATTTCTCTGTATTTTAAATTCTTATTTCTAGTGAAAAAATCCATACTTTCATTCCTTTGGTGACATAGAGATATGTGTTGGCCTCAGTCTAGTCCCAGGATATTTATCACTTATAGAGCAAAGAAATGGTTCTACTTTACTAACTATGAGCAAATTTATTGGAATGAGAACTTAAAACATTATCATGGAGTTTCCTGATAGAGGGTTTAACATAAAATACCTGCTGCTAAGGAATAGTGGTGGCCCAATACTCTGGCTTGTGGATTTTAATATCCACAGAACATTAAGAATGATTTTAAGTCCAAATGCCCATTATTAATGATTTGAAAAAAAGTAGGAAAAACATATGTAAAATATTCTGTCAGCAAACAAAATGTAAAACAAAACAAAGCAAAATAGAAACCCAGCATGTGAAAAACCCAAGCCAAGCCAAACAAGTTACTTTCTTATACACCTTGTTGTCAGAAATACAATGAATTCAACCAAGAGTTTCTGAAACGTGAGCAAGTCAAGCTTGTGGCAGCTTAATACCAGGATAGATCTATAGATATCTATATACAGATTAGTAGAAATGAAATATTTGTTAGAATGTCCTTTAAAATGGCTATTACTCATCATTTGAATTATCAGTAGAAATATGAAACACTGAATCTTATTTTTCAGAATTAACTATAGTAATTTATAAACAAGTAAATCAAAGGCAATTTTATTTCCTGAAACGTATTAGGATTTGAAATGCATGAGTGGTTTTGACTTGTGAGCAATCATGTGTGGCTCCATTTTGTCTTTTCTTCTCTGACCTAGAACCTAAAGACACAGGGAGACAAATGAGAGGAAGGCTGCATTTCATAACCAGATTCTAGGGGACATGTCAACTACTCCAGCAGTGGAGTTTTGCCACATAGGACATGTTGAGTGTATTTTTCGGAACATATTATTGGGTGATTTTTCTTTGTTTAAAAATATTTGCAATTGTTATCAACATTTAAGGAAGGCACCTAATAGGTGGTCTCTAGTCCCTTCGGAGTAACCTCTAGAGATTGCCATTGCTCCTGCCTTTAGATCAGAGGTCCAGGAGAGCTGTGGCGTGTGCAGACCTCTGGCACTTCTGCTTACCTGAGCAGGCACATTCCCAAACTCACTTTCTCCAAGGCTGACCTGCCTGTGTGCTTATTTGAACTTTAAAGGCCATGGATTGGTGTCCCTGGCAGTCTGCAGTCCTTGCTGTTGGAGGCGGAATGAAGGACGGACACTTACATATCTTGGACATAAATACTGGGCAAACCATCCAGACCCCAAACATGAACTCACAGGTAACAGTCTCTGCTGGAGTTGACCTTCACTCTGATATTCTAGAACCTTGTGAAAATGATTCATGAGAGAGCCTAGGACCCAAACACACCTTTCTGTACTTGCTGAGTCTATTGGGATTTCAGTTCTCGAGAGTTTCTCTTTCTAAAACCTTTATCTGTGAGTTGAAAGTTAATTTGTGTATCCTTTTCCCCCCAGATTTTTTCCACATTTCCCTTTTTTCTCGGCACTGCTTTGACGGTGTGCCAGTCTACTTAAATTTGTGGGTTAATTGCAGCTAAACCTATTTGTGTATTTAGTCCTTTGTTGCCTTGGGATAAACTTTCCTAGAACTCACGTCATTCCTCTAACACCCTAACCCCAGCTGCGGACTGGAGGATGCACGTGGACAGAACACACTGCCTAGAATCAGTTTGAAACACGTTCATAATGAATCAGACATTGCCATAATTCTGTGTTTTGGGGGCCATTCTTACAGATTTGTTCCCTAATCTGGCTCCCTAAGACAAAGGAGATTGCAAGTGGCCAAGGTACTCCTAAGAATGATGTGACTGTGTGGGCCTGTCCCGGTCTGGCCAGGTCGGCTGGATTTTTTGGTAAGTAAATAGGTGAGTAAAATGCCATGTATCTATAGCTAAGTGAGGTGTCATTGGCAGGAAAAGCCCTAAGTGAAAGATTTTTCCCCGCTGGCTCTTTGGAATAGATATTTTGTCAGAGGAGAAAGGCCTACAACCACCTCGGGGTGTGTATAGGTGAGAGCTTCTGAATTTGACTAAGATTTTTCATCACTTAAAATTGTCATGTCTTCTCCTTCTTGCATACCTGTGTGGATGAAGGGACAGTTCCTAAACTATGTTTTTGAATTCTGGAGTTAGTATCATAAATCGTCTTACCTTACTTTGCAGAAGAACCAGCAGTGCTGGAATGTGTGGGAGATAAGGAAAGATGAAAAGGGTGAGATGTTGTTCTCTGAGGGGAGACCACTGAAGATCAAGAAGCCCTGGTGCTCCCCTGCCCCTTCAAGACAGAAAATGGTTCTTTCTCAGTTTAGTTCTATAAACATTTATGGGGTGTTTCTTGAGAAGAAGATCCCATGATGGGGAGCAAGACTCAGGTTTCATCCTCAAGGGTCTTAAATCCTCTCGGGGACAATCTGGAATGTTCAAGGGGGTTCATGGGTGAATAGGTATCCCCTTCTACCCAGCCCTGGTAAATATGAAGATAGAAATTATGGTTGATGATGGAACAAAGTATGGCATCCAATCTCTTGTAGGCTTCTGATAACATATCCTGTCTTCTTCCTCTTCACACGCAATGTGTGTCCTGGTCAGTACCTGGGATTTAATTATTCAATGCCCACTTAATGTGCATCTAGCATGTGTGAGGCACTTTTTGGGGGTGTTGGGAATATACATGTAAACAAGACAGACATTATCTTTGCCCTTATGGAGACTACACTTTTGTGGGAAGAAACAGACAAACCCCCAAATATATATCCTGTTAGACAGAGGTAATACTTTGACTCTCTTTGCAGATTCTGATAATGTCATTTGGCAACAACAACAACAAAAAACACCCTTCACAGAAAGACTTCCTGCTCCTGCTGGTCAGTCTGACTGGACCTCTGACTGACCTTGGGATGACCTTTATATCTTTATACCGTGTGATTTGGTAAATAAAAATGTAGGCAGTTCTTGATAGAGCTACTTGGGGGGCCAGCCATGAGTGTAGGATGGACATGAGTTGATCCTTTGCAATTTTAAATCATAAGACATGCAGTGCATGGGATGTTTTCTGATTAGAGAAACATTTTTAATCAAGCCTTAAGCCTGATTCTTCATAAAACTACAATTCCAGTAGCTAATTAGATCCTTCAGATAGGTTAGGACATCTGATAGCTACTCGAGTAAATTTGCTGATACTTGGAATAAAGAATGAACTTAATTGGTACGTTTTCTTTTTTCTCTAGCTTTAACAAACCATAAATTCTTGGGGCATGTGAGTGGCTGAGTCGGTTGAGCATCTGACTCTTGATTTCGGCTCAGGTCATGATCTCAGGGTCTTGGGATCAAGCCCCACATCTGGGCTTTGCACTGATCATGGAGCCTGCTTGGGATTCTCTCTCTCTCTCTCTCTCTCTCTCTCTCTCTCTCTCTCTCTTCCTCTGCCCCTCTCTACTGCTCATGCTCTGTCTCTCCCTCTAAATAAATTTTTAAAAAACATTAAAAAAAAACAAACTATAAATTCTTTAGCATCTTTAGTAATGCTTTGTGAATTTCTTTCATTGATATTAGAATTCCAAAGAGTGCATTTAACCTTTTCTCCTCTTAACATGTTTATGGTCAGAGAAGATGCAGTTACTTTTGAGGTCTTAGACACTAATTCTCATCTCTGATGCAGTAGTATCTTCCACATGCGATATTTCTCAAAAATGTTTAGCAGGGTGGGTGTTATACAAACACACGTCAGGTGGTTAGCATTAAAAAATGAAATAGAATAGAATAGAATGGAAAAATGTATATGTAGGTATTATTTTGGAAAACTTTTGTTACGCTGTGCAGTACAGATATGTGTCTAATATGGGGCTACTACATAAAATGTAGTTTTGAACTGTGAGTTGTGGTCAGAAAATTTGGAAAAAGACTATTCTAGATTCTGGCCATGCCCTTCCTTAGTCTCACTCTGTTAACCACAGTCATGATTTTCTGGGGGGAAAATTCAGTTAAAGAAGCCTCACCCATATAACTTCAGAAGAAAGAAAGCTTACCATTTTCCTTCCCCTCATCCCCCCCCAAAGTTGTAATTTACAAGCTTTGAAGCGGGAGTGGGTAACTTTCTAGCCTATAAGTGAGATCTGGCCTTTGATTTGGTTTCATCAGTCCATAGCACATGCATCCATATGTGGTCTCCTTTATAATGATAGCTGCATAAAGAAAACAAAACTTTCAATCCTTTCAGTGATAATATTCTTAGAATTTAGGGATATAAATCCTAAAGGATGACTTTTGGCTGAGATAAAGATGGCATTTCCCACTTAATCTAGTAAATTAAGATTGTCACTTATGAGAGAAGTATTTCGAGAATGCCTTTGCTTCTGATACAAACTCCATTTTCCTAACAAATCCTAGAAGTAGCTGTCCATTTTTTTAAGTTGAGACATTTTTCAAAGCCTGCTTTAGAAAAGATATGTAATTTTTTTCTCTGTTACTCCTCTTGCACTTTCTTTCTTTTTAAAAAATGTTAATTTATTTTTGAGAGAGAGAGAAAGAGAGAGAGAGCGAGCAGGGGAGGGGCAGAGAGATGGGGACAGAGGATCCAAAGCAGGCTCTGCACTGACAGCAAAGAGCCTGAAACAGGGCTTGAACTCAGGAGCTGTGAGATCATGACCTGAGCGGAGATCAAGAATCAGACACTCAACTATCTGAGCCACCCAAGCGCCTCTCTTAAGTTTAATTTGAAAGTATTTATGTAATGTTATTTTTTTAAGTTTGTTTGTTTATTTAGAGAGGGAATGAGTGCATGAGTGGGAAAGGGGCATAGAGAGGGAGAGAGAGAATCCCAAGCAGGCTTTGTGCTGTCAGTGCAGAGCCCTATGCCGGCCTCAATCTCACCAACTGTGAGATCATGACCTGAGCTAAAATCAAGAGTCAAATGCTTAGCCAACTAAGCCATTCAGGTCTCCTGTGTAATGTTCTATATTTATGCTAACTAAATTAAGTGGCTTTTCATTTATATTGCTTTAATTTTTAAGTGTTTAATTAAAAAATAAGGGACAGTGGTCTTCAATAGGAGAAAAGATTCTTCTTTGCTCTGGGTTTGGAGGATGGGCTAAATGTTTAGAGCATTGGATTTGATTATAGTTCTGGTCCTGCCATGAATTAGCTCTGTGACCTAGGACAAGACCTTTGGTATTCCTGAATTTTTTTTTTTTCCTGTATAAAATAAGGGATCTGCTTTGTATCTATGAATCTACATTTTTTTAATGTACTGACACACCTGCGGCAATCCCATGTCACCATAGGGGCATGTGTGTATGTACATGCGTGTGAACATGCAGGAGAGGATTAGGAGTGATATGTGTGGATGGAAATATTCCCAAGTTTCTAAGATATGTCTCCTTTGGGAGTGGAATAGTATATTTGCACTTCTTGCTGCTGAGAATCAGGTGTCAGAACACAAGATTATTTCTGAAATTCCAGAATTCACTTGAGTTGTAAGCTGTACTGGTCCTATGAGGAGATGACCACTCACCTACTTAGATTTTATGTGTGCCCCCAATTACTTCCTCACTCAAAAGCTTATCCAACCTCGTTCCTTCCCCCCATCATCCCAGCCTCAGCCTCCTTTCATGGAGTCAGTTTTGCCTGCTTTGGCCTGAAGTTTTGATTGTTACAGTCACTGTTGGGTTAGGATAGGTTTTGCCAAGTATTTTCCAAGGAACAGGAGCCATGTGAGATGCTTGCATCAAAAGGACTCTCATAAAATATGTTTCAGAAATGCTGCCTATTATACTCTCTTCTCCCAAATATAGCAGTCTTAAAATAAGGAATCCTGTTTCATTCTTTTTAACCTGGAGCTCCCAAACTCATGTGAGCATTAGACACTTTTTCCATATTTAATACCCATTAACTTCATATAGAACTACTGTTCCACAAAGTGGTTTTTTTGGGGAGATGATTGGTTACGTAACAAAAAAGGGGTATTGTCTCCGGAATTAGATAACTAAGACTCATATTTGCTTTGCGGGAGAGGTTTTTGGGTCCTTTTCTATTAAGCTGAATCAATTTATTTGATTAGCTCCTTGAAATCTAGATCCCAAGGGGAGGACGTTTTTGGAAAGGTTAAGAAAAGGGATGGTATGGGAAGCAGGAGCACAGCAATAGCAATTGCTGGGTGTTGGTGGATTAGAGAAGATAGAAGTGATAGTGGTTTGGGGCGTGAAGGGTGTGATGGGCTAAAAAATGATTCCTAAAGGTATCCTCCTCAAATTCCTGGAAGCTGTGATTGTGATCTTATTTGGAGAAAAGATCTTCGCTGATGTAATTAAGCTGAGGATCTTGAGATGAGATCATCCTGGATTATCCAGATGAACCCTAAGTCCAATGACAAGTGTCCTTACAAGAGACACACAGAGAACAGACACACAGAATAGGGGCCGTATGACCACAGAGGCAGAGAATAGAGTGATGTGGCCCCGAATAAAGGACTGCCAACAGCTAGAAGAGGAGAAAGTTGGAACCTCCCCAGGAGTCTCCAGAGGGAGGCAGCCCTGTCCACTCCTTGATTCTGGACTTCTGGTCACCAGAACTGTAAGACAGTAAGTTTCTCTTGTCTCAGGCAGTTTTTGGTAACGTGTTGCAGCAGCCCAAGGAAACTAATACAAGGGGGAAGAGGTCTGAAAAGGAAATGGTGAAGCAAAACCTCAGCCACTTTAGGGTACTGACCATAGTTGGCTCTGTTTACCACAGCACAGGCTCAGTGGGAGCATGAGCTCCAAACTCGGCAGGTTTTGGAGAAGCCTTCATCCTGGGGTGGGATTTGTGGCCCCACCTCAGCAACAGCTCTTGTCATGTGGGACATTAACTGTCTTCCCCTTTTCCCACAGGCCACAGGGGCAGAGTGCTGCACCTGGCTTTGAGTCCAGACCAGACCCGAGTGTTTTCTGCCGCAGCTGATGGCACAGCCTGTGTATGGAACTGCTGTGAGTCGTCACTCAGCCCCTCTGTGAGCTCCAGTTTCCTCACTTTGAAGTGAGAATGATGACATTGGCCTTGTCTTCTCCATGGGGTTGTGGTGAGGATCAAATAGGATAAAGTGCTTTTCTTGTGGTGAATGTCTGTTTTCCTGACTTTCTTTCTCAGGTTGCTTTATTTTCCTCACTTCCTCCTGTTGGATTTCCCAGACATTGTCTTGGCCTCTTTTCTACTTTCCTCTCCCTCCTGCTCCTCTTCTTCCTCCTCCTTTTTCTTCTTTTTTCTCTATCTCTTCCTTGTTAGAGATGCATTTCCACTGCCATAGTCAGAATATCTATAAAAGATTTCCAAACTCCTTTTTCCCACTTGACTTTCCAAGCTCCAGCCTCACCCTTCTTTCTGCCTCTGGGTATTTCCTTTCTGAGATCCTTTCTTATCTTTAGCTCAAACTCAGAATGTTAAAAATACATACAAATAATATTTTGCTTGAAAAATATTGATTAAAATCCTACTGTATGGTAGGCAGTATGTTAAGCATGCATTTTATTTCCTCTCAAAATGAGATCTTCCATAGGACTTCCTTGTCCCCTTTCGTGGTCTCATCCTTATCCTGGTCATCCCGTCACTCAGGAAACATGCAGATTATTCTGCTGCATGTTTACTCCATTTACCTTTTCTCTTTCTCTCCCTTTTGTTTCAGCCTAGGCATGTCCTGAATGCCTGATGACCACTCTGTTGTAATTCCTTCTGTTTTTCCTATCTTTATTCTTCATGGGTCTCCACACCACTGTTAGGTTACATTTTTATAAGCACTGTGGTGATCTTCTTAGGCCCCTGCTCAGAAACCTTCCATGACTCCATATTACCTTAGTCCCTCACCTCAACCTTCAGGTCCCAAGCCCAGAACCTGAAGTATGATACCTGTGCTTACCTTGGCTCTGCCATAAACTGACTGAATGGCCTTGGGTTTGTTATAACATTTATGAGAACAGGAATTTGGATTTGATAACTGCTAAACTGTTTTTAGGCTCAATCAGGCCATTGTTCTTCTGTTCAATTACCTTTTTAAAAAATGTTTATTGGGGCGCCTGGGTGGCGCAGTCGGTTAAGCCTCCGACTTCAGCCAGGTCACGATCTCACGGTCCGTGAGTTCGAGCCCCGCGTCGGGCTCTGGGATGATGGCTCAGAGCCTGGAGCCTGTTTCTGATTCTGTATCTCCCTCTCTCTCTGCCCCTTCCCCGTTCATGCTCTGTCTCTCTCTGTCCCAAAAAGAAATAAACGTTGAAAAAAAAAATTAAAAAAAAAAAAAAGTTTATTTGATAGGGCGTGATCAGGGATGGGACAGAGAGAGAGGGGGATAGAGGATCTGAAGTGGGACTGTGTTGACCCTGGGCTAAGTCTTGTGATTTCCTGCCTTGATGCCTTTGTTGGAGCTTTTCTTCTAGTCTGGAATTCCTACTCTTCATTTTCTTTGCTCATCTGCTAAGTTCAAACCTCTCTAGCAAGTGTTTTGAGATGATGTTACCTAGGTTTGAACTCTTGGTATCAGTCTATACCACCCATTTGATATTAATATACTATTCAGATCAAGATATGAACATTTATTATACCTTAAAGACTTCCTTGTACCCACTCTTAGTCAGCACCTCTCCATTATTCTGACATCTATCCCTATTGTTAGTTTTGCCTTATGCAAACCTTCAGATAAATGGAATCACACACTATATATTCTTTTTGTCTGCCTTCTTTCACTCAATATTAAGTTTGTAAGATTAATTCATATCATTACATGTATCTGTAGATTTTTCTTTTTCTTGCTGTGTAACATTCCATTGTATAAATGTACAATTTTTTATCCATTTTATTGATGAATATTTGAGCTATTTTCAGTTTCAACTTTAAGAATAAAGTTGCTGTGCACATTCTTAAACATGTCTTTGGTGGACAAAAGCACTCATTTCTGTTGGATATATACTGAGGTGTGGAATGGTTAAGTCATAGAATATACGTCATTGACAACTTTCCTAAGAAGTACCAGTTTACACTTCTACCAGCAATGAATGAGGGTTCCATGCAAGTACTTTTTAAGTGGACTTCTAAACCTGTAATATTTCTGGTAGGGACTATTCCATCCTCTTGTTGCTGTTAAAATCCTAACTAGGAATTAGGGATGATAGTGGGTATCTACAGGATCATCCTAGTGACTCTCTTAGAGCCTCTGTTTTAGATATCAGAACCAGACCTCACTTTTTAATGTAGGGATTCCCATCGCTAGCTGCATATTTGTATCACTGTGGTGATTAGATAAAGAATACTATGTCCTGGGTCTCACTGAATACAATTAAATAAAAATTTCTAGAGGTGGGGCCTGAGCATTGGTAATTGAGCTAGGCTTCCTTCTTTGTTTTAAGAAGCTGTCTCTTAGTGTTGATGTGTGTTCTTGGTTTGGGTATACATTGTGTGTGCATGCACACACATGCATATTCCTAAAGGAACTAATGGAAATTGAAGAAATCCATTCACATAATCACATCTTGAAGGGGCTGCTGGACTGATGACTATCCACTGAGTTCAATGTGATGAATAACAACATGGAATTTTTTCAAGGAAAACTTTGAGCACTCACTCCCTAGTATGTGATGGCAGCCACTGTAGCCACCATGTTGATTGGCCCTACCCAGGCTCAGAGACGAAGAGAACCAGGAAATCACCTAGATAATCTAAGGCTTAAATACCAACTAATGAGAAAGGGGGGTGACTTTCTCTTGTATACTTTTCTTGTGTATCCAGGTGTTTCATTTGTGTCCCCTAAATTTTAATTTCTATTTCTCACCTGCCTTTGGAAAAACACCATAAGGCATTTCCTCTTCTAACTCAAATGCTCCAGACTGGCTGTTTCTGTTTCCTGCAGAATTGCTGGGTCCAACACTGTTTTTGTTACTAGACAGACCTGGCCTTATTGTCACTCCTGATGGGTCCCAGTGAGATGCTGAATAATGCAAGCAAAGTATGATTGTCACTTGACACATGGATGACACTATGACATTGGTTTCCTCCTGTCTCCATTGAATTATCCACAAGGTTACTTTGCCAGTGCAGATCTGCCCACTAAAGTTATAAGAGAAATGGATACAGTAACACAAATTGATTTTATTTATGATAACAAGTGATGGCAAATGAAATGAAATACAGTTATCTAAACTGCCCCTTCATAGTCTTATATATCCAGTTGAGATACTTCTGTGAGAGAAGAGTATAGATGCCAGGTCCTCGAGGGTCTCCGCATTTCCCTGGAAGGCCAAAGGCAGTAATGCCTCTATAAGTACCCTCACATATCAAAGGGCTTCCAGAATCTCCCTGGAGGAAAACAAGTTGGGTAGTGGAGATTAGCATGGAACGTGATCACTAGTGGAATGGAAGAGGTTCCATTTAACGTGGAGCATTCAATGTGGAGTTAAGACCAACCTTGACTTAAATGAAAATTAGTGCTTAAAAGTTCAAAATGTTGGAAAATATTTTGATATTTTGAAAATTGGCTTACTCAACTTATTTATAAACCAGTGAACATGAAATAAAATGTATTATTTTTCACGTTATCTACTAATTTTGAGACTGATTGTGCTTTAGAAGGAAAACCCTCCTGGGGCACCTGGGTGTCTGAGTCGGTTAAGTACCCGACTTTTGATTTTGGGTCAGGTCATGCTCTCATGGTTCAGCCCTGTGCTGGGCTCTGTGCTGACAACGCAGAGCCTGCTTAGGATTCTCTCTCTCCTCTCTCATCTCTGCCCCTCCCCTGCTTGCACTCTTTCTCAAAACAGATAAATAAACCTTAAAAAAAAAAAAAATAAGGGAAACCCTCCTATTTGCATTTAAAAAAATGTTTATTTGTTTATTTATTTTGAGAGAGAGTGACCATGAGTGGGGAGGGGTAGAGAGAGGGATAGAGAGAATTCTTTTTTTTTTATTAAACAAATTTTTTTTAATGTTTTTTTATTTTTCAGAGAGACAGAGTGTGAGTAGGGGAATGGCAGAGAGAAAGGGAGACAGAATCCAGAGCAGTCTCCAGGCTCTGAGCAAGCTGTCAGCACAGAGCCTGAGGCGGGGCCTGAACCCACAAACCGCAAGATCATGACCTGAGCCAAAGTTGGACACTTAACAAACTGAGCCACCCAGGCACCCCAGGAGAGAGAGATTTCTGACATGGGGATCTGTCCCACAACCTGGAGGTCATGACTTGTGCTGAATCAAGAGTCAGATGCTTAACCAACTGAGCCACCCAGGGGTCCCTGTCATTTTCTTAAAATGTTTAATAATTCAAGAGGTAAAAGAGTCAAATGCAGATGGGATGTTGAGGCAAAGAGTAAATACCACGTTTTCTCGTCTCTCCAAGCAGATAATTGTTTTCCCAAAGGAACAAAACCAAAGCAAATTTTCCCTTCATCCTGTCAAATAGAAATTTCTCCCTCAAGTCTCTTTGGAGCATCTGACACTAGATGGGAGGTCCCAGAAGCCAGTGATCGCACTTCAGAGCTAACTGCCTCCACTAGCAGAGCCCTTTCAGTTAGCTGTGGGTCAATGCTTTATGCATCCTGTGCCACCCACTGTGTGATCCTGTTTTCTCTCGTGGAATTCTAGAAACAGCATATTTAAATGTATTTGAGATCCAGAGTCTGAAGTGGCCATTTCACTGCTCTGGCTTTAGGAAAGACTGTTGGTGTTGCACAGAGGGCCACTGAGGCATACACATGGAGCTCTGCGAGCGCCAGGTCTGAGGGCCCAGCTCCTTCTCAGCCATGTGAAGGCATCAACGATCCCTCTTGTTCAGGCAAAAACTAGCCTTATAAGCGTATGAACTAAGCAACTATGTGCAAGCCTGGGACCCCTCCTGGAATGGTGTGTTTCATGCAGTGCCTGAAATTTTCATAATTAGTCCCTCAGGTTTGATTCACTCATAGCCACTTGTGAGGGGTCTTGGGCACTGAGGGAACGGGAGAAGGACTGCTAAGTTTTGATGGTAGAGGGTGGCTGTTGAGAGGCAGACAGGCATACTGGGATGCTGCCATGGCTTTAGGGTGTTGCGTGTGGTCCCAATGGCATGAAGATTCTGGGTTCCTGGATTTCCAGAGTGGTGGCTGAAGGGAGGGGAGGGAAGAGGGAGGGCAAAGGACAGGAAGTGCAAAGATGCAGAAGACAAATGTCATCTTTTCCTGAGATTTGCTTAGCCTTGTTCCTGAAATCAAGCCATTCAGAGTCTGCCGGTGTTTGGACAAACTTGTGAAAAGAGCAGAGACCTCTGGATCTCTCAGTCTCTGATTTAAACTCCCAGACCACCTACACGGCAGCTCCTTCTCTTCAGAGGAGGCTCTCTCTACAGGGTCTTTGGGAAAGGTGAGAAATGATAAACTCAGAGCTGAAAACTTTATGAGGTGTCTCTTCTACTCCTGTCTTTCAGCAGAGCCCCGTCCTGCTGCTGCTCAGGGGACTCTGGTACGGACACTTGCACATTCTCTGTACAGGGACTGGAGGCCCTAGAG